AATTGCAATAGCAGTCTGGCTATTGCACCTGCCTGCTGTCAATCAGCAGAGGAGGGAGCTGAAGGAGAAACTTCTCCTTCAGGTCCTCCTCTGCTGATTGACAGTGGGCGGATGCAATAGCCAGACTGCTATTGGCTTTTGCAATTTAAAGTATCCAATAGCAGGCTTGCTATTGTTTTCAGCCGCTGATGGGAGACTTGACGCTGGTGTTCTTAAGTGGGGAGGTAGGGAGCGGCAGCGGAGGTACGGGCGGGATTGCAGAGTCACCGCATTCTCTCTCGCCGCTGGTGCTGGCTGCAGTGGTCTGCGTCTCTGCTCCCTCTGCCGACGTAGGCGGGGATTGAAAGGGACACAGACAGCTGCAGCCAACACCAGTGGGGATTAGAACGGAGGAGCAGATCGGCGGCACTAATCGAAAATCAACTAATCGATTATGAGAATCGTTGCCAATGATTCTCATTATCGATTTATAATCTATTTAGTTGTTGCAGCCCTAGTAGCAGGGGCTGACTGGCAACTTTTAGCCCAGGGGGCAAGTACATCCCAGAGGCCCATAGTGCAGCAACTTGGCCTCCTCCCAGCATTCTTCCCGCCCGTCTGCCACTTTTACCATCCATGCAACGGTAGTGTGAATGGTCGGGAGATGTGAGGACTCCTGGTAAGTCCATGAAAGGGGTGATTGGCTAGGGGATGGTGCTCTCCTTCCACTGGGCTCCCTACTGCCTAGTAGCCACAGTGGAGAAAAAATCTTAATTGGGGACACAGACCACAATTGAAATCTGGAACAAGTACAGGTGGGACGCTATTCAAATATTCAGAAAATCAGTCCAAACAAAAACATACAAGGGAATCCAGAGTTGAAGATATAGGTATATACAGTTCAATGAGAGCGCCAAAGAAGACCGTAAGAGTCTAAAAATGTTTAATAATAGAATGGGTACATAAACGATAATACAGAAAAGCCAATGCGTTTTGGGGGCTCAAATATTTCCTCTTCAGGGCTATAATAACAGATATGAACACATATGAATTCCTAAATTAGCTCATTTTGGGATATAAAAAATTGTTTAATAAATATGTACAATCATTATGATTGGGATCCTAAAAAGATTAAGAATAAAGGAGAAGCATCCAGTTGTTACCTGATGAAGATGCAGTAATATATAGAAATTATTAACAATTAACATTGATGAAAAGAACATCCCTTTTATCATAATAAATAGGACTGCACCGATACTTTTTTGAGTACCAGTGCCGATACTTGGCATTTTCATGAGAACTACCGGCGTTGCAGATGGGACCTGGCTCTGGCGCTCCAGCACTGTCCCGAAATTATTAGTCGATATTGTTTTAGAAAAACTGTCGCATTACAAACAAAAATGTATCAGTACTTGTACTTGTAAGTACTTGGGTAAATACCAGTACTTGTACTCGCAAAACTATCGGTGCATCCCTTTTATATATATTTATAAAAACAAAATCATACAATAAAACCGAGATGTACAAATCCCAGGCGCTCCGTATGCTCCTTACAAATGACAGCTGCCTCCTAACTTTTGAATTTTTTTCTCTAGTCTAGTCTTGGAGCTCGAAAAGTATCTGTACTTGTACCGAGTACTGTACTTGGTATCGGTGCATCCCTTTATAATAATGAAAATACATGGAGACGATATAAATCGATCCTATTTGATCTCCGTAGTGCTACAGTCGCACAATTAAATTCCCTTCCCCACTCTAAAAGAATAAGATAACTTTTGTTAGGTTTTGTAGCATGAAGGTTATCACCAATCACTACAAAATTAGGTGACCTGTTTCTAAAATGTATACTGTTTGTTTATTTCCCACAGGTGAGAACTGCTGACCCTAAAACAACTCAGGACCGATACAAGATGACAGGCCTTCTGACTGAAACTTTTGGCATTGTAAAGAAAGAGTTGGATTCCTTAAAAGGAGAGAGTCAACCTGATATGGGTGAGGACTCGTCTCCACAATTAGAGGAGTGCAGAGAAAACCTTGAGCTTCAAGCGGACACTTCTGCTGCTAATGGCTCTCAGCACCTGGGTAATGATAAGACTCTTGCCCTATTGCAGCAATACTCAGAACTTTTACTGCAAGCAGTAGAGAAGAGGATGGATAAGAAACTCTAAGCTACCTCTAGCTTGCAGAGTTTTGTGTCGGTGTTCAAGAAGGGTGTTCCGCACCAAGTGCACTGCAACCAAAAAAACCTTTTTCTAAAGACTTTCAAACACTACGATAACTTTTAAGGTGAACATTTTGTCATTTAAATCCACAAAACCAGCATCCAGGGGGAATGCTGGTATGGATGTGTTCCAGCAACCCTTCAGACCAGCAGCACTTGAGGTCTTTAGTCCTGGTCCCAGTTTGACCTGGGCCAAAAAGTTCTGTTTCTGCTTCCAGTTGCTCACAGGTATGCAGAACCATTTTAAGTCTGTTAACAAAAATCCTTGAACAAAGTATTATTTGTTGCTTTATATATTTTAAGTTATTTAAATGTTTTATGTTTCATATCTTTTATTGCTCCCTCAGGAGTTTGTCCCGTGATACTGTTTTATTTGTGTGGGGGCAGAAGCTGGCATTATACACAAGTTACAACCTGTTTTGGCAAAGGATCGTGGGAGGAGTTGCACAATATGGCTTCTTCTGCCTTAACAAGGGCCTATTGCTTGCACGCAATGCAGGTGGCCATTTTGCAGAAGGCCATGTTCCCTGAGACTGTATTCAGTGTAGCAGTTAAATAGAGTTTCTCTACTTATCAATTTTCTACATGCTGCAGGAGCAGTGGACACATTCTCAGGACCTTGTAAAATGGCCACGCAGCTGTGTATCGATAGATCACATTAAGCGATGTCACTACATTAATCCATTACTTAGCTGGAAGAGTTTACATTATTTAATCATTTTAATTCTTCCCGGTTCTCATGTGTTGTTTTTTTTCTTCGTTATATTAGGCGTAGTTATGTTAGATTATTTCAATAGCAGTGAAAACAATTTGGCAATAATTGTATTCTCTCTGACCTCTACAGATGGGCCTACAATTTTATTTTATTTCCATTTTTCATTTCTCTTTTTTTTTTTTTTGCTTTTCTTTCCAGGGCTGACAATTTTACACAATTACAGTTAAGCTACTGTTTTAGTTCCAATTTCTTTCATCCAAAAGGTTTCAAATGAAACTTTTCTGGTAAAAATTCAAACTGCATTTTTACACTTCACTTTTAAGGGTATTTGCACCTTCAATAAATAACTCTTTTATATATGTATTTTTTTTTTATATCAAATGATGTCTGTTAAAAGGGGTTTAAACCAAAATGTCCCCTCGGCTTACAAATCCACTATTATATTTGGTTTTCCACTCCTGCTTTTCAAAAGCATGTGTTGCCCGTCCTGCTGTTTAGATCCACTTCACAGGATAAGTCCAGCAAAGCGACTTGGTGCGGCTTAATTGTACATAGAGCTGCCTTAATATATTCCACCTGCTATGGAGTCTACGATTCTGTGGGTCTATGCCTAAGCTCTTAGGGAGCAGTGTTGGGAGGGAGGAAGCACGTGTCTAATTTTTTTTTCTTCTTAGAAAATACACCAATACTTTTTATCTGGCAGTATTATGACCCGTGTCCATTACAGTGAGCTGGATGAGATTCAAACAGCAGGTTCCCTCAATGGTCCTTTGACAATTTACTATGAAAAAAACCTTGCTGGCACAGGAGGTTGTAGAGAGCTTGCACTTCCCAAGCAAACTCTTAAATAGATAGAAATTTTACTTTAACCACTAAGGGCTAGACTTCCCAGACTTTTGGGTTCAACCCCCTGTTCAGTGAGAAACCAGGGGTGTGCAGAAGAGGCCTTTATTAGCAGACACTTTGGTATATACAACTAGGCAGCATATTGTAAAAGTATAACATGGTTGACTGGTTAACTATAGATCTGGACATTATAATTTGCGGTGTGAAATCTACAAGCAGTATGCTGGCAGTCTTCATAAACTTCCCATGATACCTTCAAAACTCAGTAAAGACAAAAGGTGGCAAATTTCTTTTTAATATCGCTGAATATGCAGTTTGTCTACTTATATTGCAGAAAGTTGTAGCTTGACTACCTTTATGAAATAAGCTCCATAAAAAGATATTAGGGGGGAGGTGGAAGTGTTGAATAAGATGCAGGGAGATGAGAAAAGTTCAAAAAATTGAATTGAAGAAGCAGAACAATGAAGTCCCATCAACTTACACTACCTGTGCAGACTGAAAGATCTTTGGTGGATTTCTAGCCTCAGAATAATCCTTTGCTGGCATTATCCTTTAATGTTATATGTAAAACATGTTTTATAAAAGGCTATTACATGTGTTACAAGGCTTTTACCAAATTCCTTCTTGTTTCCATTCTGGAAATAACACAAACACACTTTTCCTATTTAAGATGAAGGTCAGCGCAGAGGTTGTGAACCAATATGGCTAAACTGTTACAGTTGTGTTTTCTTTCATGGTAACCAATCTATCCAACATTGGCACAGGGAAGGTATCCTGAGGCCCCAGGGAATAGATGTCAAATCCCTTTTCAGACTCCAATTCTTTCAGGAAAAGTGACTTTAAAAAGCACATAAACGGTCCAAAAAAGGTAACCAGGTCTATTTAGAACGTGAATTCAGGAGCAAGTCTAAGTATGTTTTTTCAGTAATGCTAACGTTCCACTTTAGGGGATTTATTGTAATCATTGTAAGTGTTAGACTGTATTATCAGATGCTGTTTTATAAGAACGTGTAAGGGTATGTGCAATGGTTTCATAATAAGTTACAGCTTCCAGAATCTGTACTATGCATAATTGGCGTAATATTACTGCTGGTCTGAAAGGGTTCAAATGAGGCTGGTCCTCTAACAGTCAATAGGGGTGGCTTTCTATGTCATGAAGATTTCTGTTTTTGTGTGTGTGTGAATTCTTACAATTTAAACCCTTTTTTATCCTGGTGCGGTATAACCTGGTTTTGCATCGGAGGGAGAAAAAACAATTTTTTTACTTATCTTTATTTATAGGGTTCCAGAGTTGTATAGATACAACAAGAGTATAAAAAAAAAAAGTGTGAAAGGACTTAAATATTTGGGAATTTTTCTTAACATGATTGTGTCCTGATAGTTGTTACTATTTGCTATGCAATTAAAACGTTATCTGAACCAGATCAATAAAGCTTACATGTCCAGGCATTGGAGAAGAATGGCACAGGTGTACCCTACCCCTTTGTCATGACAGAGTTAGATCTTTTGCCAACGTTGGAGACTCCAAGTGTCTTTCTACTAGAACAGCGGCGTCATCCAAATTTTCTGTACTAGTTTACGATCGCCCTGAGCTGATCAGGAAACTGAGCCATTTTTCTGTAAATAGGAACCCCCTCCCCGACCAATACAAACAAGAATAGACTTTTAGAATGATTACATCTGTGGTATGTCAGGCAATGTCCATGCTTTGTCTTTATATTAGAGGGAAGACCATTTATATATACAGTATTGCAGGCTAAACCATGTGGCAGCAGTCTGGTATATATTTATTTTATGAGGCAATGGCTTTTTTCATGTATTTCAAACATTCTATCCAATCAAACATGGCTGACATGAGTGAAGAGCGATAGAATGGTAAGCTTGTAGCACCTTATCATATGGAAAACATGGCTTCTAATTCACCAAATGAACAGCAGCAAGCTTAAATGTCACATGTTACATGGAAAGGTCATTGATGCCTTGAGTTTTGCCAACAACTGGTATTAGCAATGTATATAGTGTAAGATAAGCTTCTCTAAAAAGAAATATAAGGTCTTTAGGTTGTTGAGCAGATGTGGATATACGGCTTTTGGCGCATGGAGAAAACATGCATGATGTCTTTTGGGAAATATTTAATTCATGAACAATTGCATGCACTTGATTTATCATAAGCACCAAACCAGTCATAGGGAGCCTGTGGCACCCCATTTCATCTAAAGGGAAGCAAAGTACCGGTGTTGGATGTCTCTGGTGGAAGCAGTCATTGCACAACACAGGCTGCATACTAGGTCGGAGATAGCGAAATTAAACCTTTTGAGTCTATCCTGGAATTAATGGTATCCATATATCTCGCAGCACTCCTTACCGGATATCCTCAAACCGGAATGTTAGTAATGACTGCGGATGGTGCCGCTCATAGTGAAACTTTAATAAAGATGTCACCAGCATGAGAATTCCAACTCCGTGCAAATCTATTTTATTTATAATGTCACTCAAATGATATTTGAGTGACATTATCAATAAAATGGATTTGCACGGAGTTGGAATTCTCGTGCTGGTGACATCTTTATTAAAGTATCCTGGAATTAAATCCCACTTTGTGTCTAGGGTAATGTCGGCTTCCATCTAAAGCATCTAGCACAGTTTTCTAAGGTGACAGATTTTCTATAGAATGTGTACAAGTGAACTTCAGCGGTGTGTCCATCAAGCTTTAGTAAACCATTTGCAAAGCTACATGCAAGCGACAAACCGCGCGCTGCGACATTTTAAAGCACCCTTCAGCTATAGTTTCGAAATTGGGTTGTCATTTTATTACATTCGGTTTTTAACTTGGTTTAGCACAGCTTGGAATTTGTTACAAGTCTGCTAGCAGCTCATTTAAAGCTGAAAACCGAATGTAGAAAGTGACAGCCAGCACTCCCTTATGATCTGCATATAACATTCCCAAACGGACACTGAAGGGTGCCCTAAAGGCCTCAGGAAAGATGCCTGAAGCTCATTGAAAGCTTTGACAAAGGTTTGTAAGAGCTTGCTGTACACATTACATATGTGCAAGCTAAAGCCCATCGGTACAAGCGAAGATGGGGTCCCATGGTATCTATAAATGTATCAAGCCACACCTAGCAATCCATCAGCCCAAAAGTGCTCCATTGTTCACTTCAACAGCTTCATGGAACAGCCTCTACATACACCAGAATTCTGAAAGTACAACTTTTATATTCTGATATGGGGAGGAGGTCATATTTTTTAACTGTTTTTTTAATCGTTTGGAGCAATTGTTATGTTTGTGTTTTTTGCACTGTGATCTGCCTCTTCTTCTTTACAAGGAGGCCGAGGCTGTTTTATAACTGTTCCTTTGTACTTCATGTCTTAATTTCAATAAAAGTGTGAATCTTTTAGAAGTTTGTGTTTTTTTTTTCATGTGTCTTCGCTTGTAAATCTGTTCTTAAGATGAAGGATGATGTTCTTCAGTATGGAAGTGTAAAGTGCAGAAAGCCCTTGCAGTCAATCAGATTGCTGTCTAATGCAGTCAGATCGGTGAGATCATTGCAGAGTATTTTCACTGGGTTACTGGACTGTACACACAGCTTTTTGCTTTGTAAAATGGGAAGGAGGTTGAGGATGGAGAGAGATGAGGCCCTTAAAGTATAAAAATTAATGAAAGCAAATAGGGATGTTCAGATACCA